ACCGGGGTGAGGTCCCGCGGCAGGCGGCGGCGCCCGGGCATCGCGCTCTCCTGACTGCCGGTGTCTGGGAGAGGGCACGGCTTGGCCGCGTACGAGCGCAAGCAGAGTTAATTCAAAGGAAGATAAAGCCGTGATCTGAAGAGAGACTAAAGCAAGGTCTGCCACCCTGAACTGAACGCCGTTCCCAACCCTGGATTTCTGTTTGTTTCCCAATGTGAAGGGGGAAAGGAAAAAAAAAACCACCCAAGAGGCTGCGACTCACCTTTCCCAGCAACTCCTGGGGCAAATAGGCAGAACTGGGTTTGAAGAGGGAGCCGGTCTGGCTGAGGGTTGTCACAATAGCACCTCCGTTCTAAAAGGTAGATTAGAAACTCCTTAAGCTGCAAACGTAGCATTTGTGAGATTGTTACGGACTGATTCTAAACAAGTGAGGTACCTTCTTCTTTGATCTTGTAGTTGCCTCAATTCCAAAAATCTATATAGTGGACTAACTATAATGCTGCTGACTTCATTAACCCTGGCTACTCCAAGTACACATGCAGCACAGGGCATACATAGCTGGTGTTTTCAGTGCTGGCATTTAAACGTGTCATTCTTACTTACAAATGGCTTTCTATTGAAACAACTGAAATTCCTTTTAAAAGGACTTTTCTATATACTTTTAAGTCTGAAGACTACCTGTTAGAGATACTAGCATCCAGAGGACTCAAAAAGCAGCAGATGGAGTTGACCTCCTATAGCAAAACATTTGGAAACTAAAAGTTCTTATTAGTTCAAAAAAATCATAAAGTGTCATAAGGGTTATTCAATACCTCTAGCTCTGGCTCACAAGCTGGCGTTTGGCATGGTAATCAGGAAAAGCACTTGACCTGCTCTTACTCTTTTCGGGTGATGCCAGAAACACTGATGAGGTACTAACCCTTACAGTCCTACTATGCTCGTACTCTCCTTTGCTGAAGGAACAGTGGGATGTTAAATTTGTAGCTTTACGCTTATCAGCATGCCAAGAATAACACACCCAAAGTACCGACTGTAACTCACCCAATTATTCATCATCATCTTCCTTAGATTGTACACAAGTGTCAGCTCCTCTGGAGAAACCTGGTGAAGATTGCCTGTATCACTTTTTTTGCCAGCAGTTTCTATCTGAGACATAAATTCCCCTCCCCTACTTTAAATTAGACTGGAAGGATCATTTGCATCCTTTCGGCGCATTTTTTCTTTGCTTTTACTTAGCAGTGTAGCATTCGGCCTTAGTAATGTTACACAGAAAAATGCCCAAACCTTTCCTGCTCTAACAAGATGTATATGAACTTTTTGCTTACTGAGAGAACTTCCTTCAGTAAAAATTGTCTAAAGCACAATATGAATTTTGCAGGTCCCTCCAAGCTAGGAAAGCCAAATGTACATCTTTCAGGGATTATTGTGGAACTTAAAAATGAACAAGCCACCCTCCCCTGCTCTCCCTTGCAGTAGGAACGCCGAAATATCATCAGAGCAGATAACATCTTACAGGGCTTTTGTCTTCCTTCTCTAATGTAGTCCTTCCCCAGAGCGCGTTGACACCATCCACTGCCACAAGAAGTCGGAATGAGCCAAGATGACATTGCTGCCTTATCTCTTTCAGCACAACTCCAACAGCATCGCTGGCACTTCTCACACGAGCTAAACCCTTTAAGTAGGAAAAGGCACATAACTCAGGTTGGTTTTCTTGTTAATATATAATGCTGGCAACTTTGGGCAATGTCTGCCCTTTCTAAGAGGGAAGGAAGATAAAATGACAGTCAGCAGTCTGTTCGTTCCTTACAAAGGAGCAATCTGGTCTAAGGTACTGAGTATCAAAGACGTAGGAACTTTCAAGTTCTAATTTTTGCCTCTACCCAAGTTCTCTGTACAGCTTCCTCTACAGAGCCATCACATCTTCCACAACATTTCTTGTAGCCACCTTGTTGATAGGGAAATGCCTTCCGTTTCCTACAATTCATATTTATACGACCTTTAGAAGCAATTTCTTCTACATACGCAATGGTGGGATCTTCTAATAAAAGGTGAGACAAAGCCAGAAGCAGTTGTTATTGCTTACCTGCTCCACCACTTCACCCAATGGTCTGCCCTCCTCAGTGCTTTCTCGTTTGTCCCACACATATTTTTTTTGTGTTTTTATCTGCAGTAAGAGAACTACAGTTAGACTGGGAACTAAGTAGCGCAAAGGCAGCTTGGCAAGCCTGGATGACAAGACTCCTGGTTCTTTGCCAGCGTTAAAGACTAGTGCAGAATCTGGGAGAAGTATTCATCACAAATAGCCATCCTCATAGGGGGGATTTAAAGTACTTCTTTTTCTACAAAAATTTAATTCCAGTGAAGGGTAGGGTTTGTGGGTTTGTATGCAGTATGAGCGCATGCATTAATACATGAAGCATTTCTCAAAAATGGACAAATCTAGTATTTGCGTCAAGGTGTATTCACATCAAGGTGCTCAATGAGAGGAAGCACGTGCACATGCAGTCCCTGAAAGATGATCCTGTGGGTAGTTCTTGGCTACTAAGCAAGACAACTTGACAGGCTCTACAAACCTCTTTTAGGAAGCGCTCATTTGAGGTTTTGAAGTTCTTGAGCCACAAAGATGCTTGCAAAGGCTGATCAAGCCGTTCTTTGTTGTAAGAAGACTGTATGAGCTCCCTGCAGTTTTTCACCCAGAGATGAGCTGTAAGCAAAATAAAACAGTTGCTTTTTTTTTTAATGAAAATAATTGTATGAGTTGCGGGTGTGTGTGTGTTTGTATCTCTCATCCTTATTCTGCTACATGGGTAAGAAAAGTCTGCCTTCCTTAATGCAGAAGACTCTCCCTTGAGAACAGAGGCGATCACACAGATCCACACATAGTACGTCTCCTGTCATACTTGTTAACAGTGAGGAAAAAAAGACTGACAATAACCATGTGAGAGCAGGTGAAAAATAAGTGTAATTATGTTCTACTTTATTTTGGGGTTTTGTGCTTTTATAAGCCTTCTCCACTATGAAAAAACAAAGAATTTGCTGTGGCCTACCCTACACCTTTCTCTTGAAGCAGCATCTTCGGGATCAGCATGTGTATTTGATGTGGTAACACAGACAGCATCAGTGTTCTTACCATCTGGGATGTGCAGCACCAGCCAGCCTTGCCTTGCGCAGTAGTGAACCACATGACACAGAGTCATGGTCTTCCCTGTTCCTTTCTCACCATCTCCAACACGGACTGTTAAGGAAAGTCTCTGAAAAACCACTTCAATTTATACTTGACTGTAATTCTTTCGCAAAAGGCATAAAGGAAGTTCAAAGGTCGTAAAAGCAAGGATGGCATTCCATCATGCTTTTGTTCGGCAGCAAACCTAGCCTAAAAAATTCCTTCTCTGTATATCTCCCCCACCCACCCACTACATCAGAGCTGATGATTCCCATTCCCTTAGTTGTGCTGACAGCCCTGTTTGCAGATCTGTGCCATAAGCCAAAGTGGGCTTAGAATAAGAGTATACAAGCTTCATGAACATCTCAGACTAGCTTTGCTGACAACAGAAATGTGGCAGAACTACCTCTGGAAGACTAAACCATGGTGGTCAGCATAGGATCAAAACATCACCCTCATCTGCATAAACTCACCTGCTTATACTTAACTTGCATTGTACCATCAAGTAAGTGATAAAAGATACAGATCACATATCTGACAGCTGGGTGTGCAAAATTGGAGCTTTTCAGGTAAGTGAAAAGTTCTAGAGCTGGTTTTCGCACCATCAGACAGGCTTCATTGAAGGTCTTAATCTGAGAAAAGGAACAGAATATGAACAAGAAGCCAGGTACTGCCATGACTCCATCTCTGACTGGTACTGTGCAGGGCTGGAATGTCCACTGCTCTCCCCTTGTCTACCAGGCCAGTCATATCATCATAGGAGTTTATCAGGTTGGTCAAGCGTGACTTCCCTTTGGTGAAGCCATGCTGACTACTCCTGATGACTTTCTTGTCCTTTGTGTGCCTGGAAATGGTTTCCAGGACTAGCTGTTCCATCACATTCCCAGAGATAGAGATGAGGCCAACTGGCCCGTCAATGAATCAAAAGTCAGTCACCTAGAATTACTAACTCACAGATAAAAAAATCTGTTCCTAAACTCAAGTAGGCAGTCTGCATTAGCTGCTTATGAAGCCTGATCCAGTCACAGCATGATCTGTCTCAAAACAGAAATCAAGAGGCAAGATTTTTTATGTTGCTGATATAAACTTATTTCATGAGACGGCCTATTTCATACAGAAATGTAACTGTGGAAAATATTTCTGTAATTCATTATGTACTCAGAAGTTAGAGATTAAAAATATTGGTCTATCCAGTGTTGCCTGAGGTGGAATCCTCACACCCTTCTGCCACTACTCTGATTAGGTTGACTCATACCTTTTAGATGTAGAAAATAACAGTAACAACCAGGAATAATTGCATTCTTGCAGCACAACACTCTCTCTTATTCCAACAGGAAAGCATCATAGTTACTCAGTGGATCTGGTTCTTCCCACATACCAGTCCACTCCCTACAAATCTGCTCTAAGACAAAGTACCTGCTGCTGAAACCGATAGGGCAGTCCATGCGGAAACACAGCTTTCACCTCCTCAAGTGGAATGCTGTAATGGCGACCCTCATGGTGTTCTGCGTGGTTGGCCTGGGAAGGTAAAATGCAAACTGTAACACTCGGGAAAGTCTGAGACCTCTTTTCTGGATACAGAAAGCCTGTAAGAATGGAACAGGGAGCGAACGCTCAATCAAAGCAAGTATCTACTTACTGAGAGTCAGAAGAACTAGCATATTAAAGTAAAGCAGGAATTGTAGTATCAGGACACCACTGGCAGATGCTTAGGAAGAGTCTAAAGAAAGGATATTCTACCTGGCAATAAACAATAAAGGAATTCCTTGAGCTTGTATATGAACTGTTGTGTTTGTGGGCACTGGTGGCCCTATGCGTCATAAATTTATCTAATCTTTTAGTAATCCACTTGTACTTCTGGTGACCACAGTATCTAACAGCAATATGATCCCCTTTTGAGTTATCTGCTGGATTCAAATTTACTTTCCTTAAGCCTGTGATAAAATTATGTTTTCTGGTTCGTTCTTTGCTGTCTCTCAATAGTAATTCCTAATATGCCATTTGCCTTGTTAAGTACTGGTTGCTTAAGAACTCATGATTTGTTTTCTGGGGCAATAATTTCAAGTTCCTTCTTGTGATGTAAGTGGTTGGTATTATTCCTCCAGCACACTTGCATTGTTCTGCATTTATTTACAGTGATTACTTTAAGATCTCCGACTATGCACTCCAAGAAGGAGTTGTTACTGGTATCTGAAAATTTAATACCCATTTCATGCCTCGTTATACATCCTTGATTTTTTTTCCCTTCATTATTCTATTTTCCTACAATGCAATACTTGCAAAGCATTTATTTACTTTTGGTCTAGTCATCAGTTTTTGTGTCTTGTATAATTAGGACAGTACCTAGAGACACTATTCTGCAGTACTTCCTGTGTGACTTCTAGCAACTTTTGTGCCAAGCTTTCTCTGGCTTTTTTAGCAGCTTTGTGCCAAGCTTTGAAGCTCATATCATGTCTTGCTCTACCCTTTCTGCACTCTTCCATGGATTTAAAGTTAAAAAAAAATCCTCCTCTGTATTCTTGTGCATGCCAATCTCTTGCTTCCATTTTGGTTGAAATGGAATCAGAACGTAACTTCCTTGTTTTCTTTATTTTGCATAATAACGATCCAGGAAAAGTAGTTTTATTTCCTATTCAGAAAGAAAAAGAAGCAGTCGTTATTTCTGCCAGCTTTAGCAGATTTGGGGGCTGATCCAGATTTTCCTTGTATCCCTTACTAGCTTTGGTGTAGACCCAGGGCTTAATTTACTGAGGCAATACTGGTCTGGGCTTGGTTGCTCACCTGTGCAGACTGGCGGACAAATGGTTTGACCAGAATGAATGGATGGGGAAAAAAAAAGTTGTGATGAGTACTGCTACCCTGACCTGGCTGCCTGCTGTATTCCTCACATGGAACCACGTGAGCAACGGTACCTACAGGTTTGACTACTCCTGCTTTTGCCATTAATATTTTGCTTTTCCCAGTTCCTGGAGGAATCTTCATGCACAACTGCTGCCGCTCTGTTGCAGACCCATGAATTCTCTAGGCCCAGGATTCTTGCTACAGACCAGAGTTTCAGTCTTTCAGCATGCAACGTGCCTGTTCTCTTATATTCTGCTCCCCACCCCCAACTCTGAAAAGCCCATGGTAACTACACACCCATGCCATGCCTTACTGAGGAAAGGTACTCATAGGACAGGTCAATGTGGCCTGGACTGTAAGGTTTACCTTGGTACAGCTGCAGGATTTGAGGTACTCACCAGTTTGCCAAACTATTTATAGGAAGAAACCATTTAGTAACTTCAGCAAACTGCTGTCGAAGCTGCTTGAGTTGCCAATCTGGTGTTTACTGGTCTAAATCTTAGCAACAGGAAGAAAATTTTAAAAACCTGGCTAGTCAATAGTTCCTCTGCTGTAAGATGTTACTTGGAGATAGACTAAAAAGGAGACCTATTAAGAGAGACTTAAGTCTTTTTTCAAGCAGAGCTGTATTTCAAACTCTGAGCTGGATTCCCTAGAGTTTTCCTGCATGTGTTGGTCACAGACTAACAGCACCTGTGGTTTTTTGCATGGCAGTGTTATCTATTGATTCAAACAGAAGAGCAGTACTCCAGAGACCATTTTCATTCTCAGTTTCATCACTGACTTGCTGCATAACCTTGGGCAAATTCCTTTGCTCTTCAGCTCCTACATCTGTAAAGTGGGTCAGTATCTTTATCCTCATGTTTAGTCACTTTGAGTTTTGCTAATGGAAAGGTATATAAAAGCTAAATCTTATTAAAAATTTAATTTTCATCTGGTCTTCTTAATCCATTTTTAATGGGACTTTACGGTGCACAAGTACGGGAACAGTCAGAGCTATCAGGTTTGCTGATGAAGCAAGCCAGCGTAGCCTCTCTGCTGCAATACACGATCTGCAGTACAGCAAGTCTGAGGAACGCTGATCTGATAAATTAATAAGCAATGGCGGTTGTCGCCAAACATCAGGCACATGAAGTCAGAATGCCAAAGCCAGTTGCCTGGCAACGTAAATGGTAGGCACAGGACAGCGGGGACAATCCTTGCCATCTGGACTCTTCTGTGCAATCTATAGAGACACTCACATCATGTGAGTAAGATCATCTGCATGCTGCTGTTTCCATAGAGACCCCAGAGGAATCAGTATTGAAAGACTCCAATTACAGAGGCAGCAGAACAGCACCTCAAAGGCTTATTCCATTCATTTATTCCACTTCATTTTGTGCTTGAGACGGAGAGTGTGAGGCTGGAATTATGATGCTGGAGAGCTATACTGTGCTGAGGTCATCTGGGGTGTGTTTTTTATCCCTGTTCATAGCCAATTTGGGGAGGTTAGTCAGGGAAGAATAACCCTGGAGTTGAAATTAATGGTGTCTGATGACAAGCTAAGCCACATCAGAGCTTCTGCAATACACAGTCTCTCTCCTCTGTGCAACGATAAAGAAGGAATCAATACTTGTTCCCAGGAGCTTTCAGGCAGAGGACCAGCCCTGTCTTGTTTAAACCCAGTCAGGTGAACTGCACAGCCATGGTCTGTTTTCCTTTTGGCTGGGGATCATGGTCTAGATGCCTAATATTAGGCCTGTGTACTCCCTTCCCTTATGTTTACTAGAACAACACAATCCCAGTAGGCATCCCTGGCTCCAGCATGTCCACAGGCAGACTCGTGGAATTTAGGCACTGTCTGTCTGACAATAACAACTGTGGCAGTAACTCACCGGGTCATTCTCGCTGGTATAGAAAACTGCTCTTGGTCTTTCTGCCAGTGTTTGGACATCCTGGCTGACAATGGAACTTAAACAATCCTTGGCTGCCGTATGGAGGGCATACCCATGGTCCAACTAAGGAAAGAAAAAGGCCAACAGACAGCAAACTTGTCAGCAGTCAAAGATTACCAGTAAAAAATCCAGTTAGGAGTTTGTTTTGTACACTCATTGCATGCATATTATGATCGGGTCAAGGTAGCATGCAATACTGAATAGAATTCTCTGCAATTAGAATAAAAATTCATCATTAGAATGTAAATTCATCATGAAAAACCAGATGCCTGCTTCTAAAGCATTTCCATTCACTTAAGTTTGCTACCACCTTAAGTCATCTAGAGAGCCAAGCCCTGTACCTGAGAGTTATCCCCTTCAAGATTGCATAAGAGCACAAGTACAGCCATTAAGGCCTTATTGCTGGGACGTTCCCACAATGTTTCTGCCTACACTGATGAATAGTAGCTAGTACCTTGAAAATTCAAGCTGTCTAGTAATCCATAATCACCTCAATTAGTGAGGGATTAGTGCAGTGCTGCCCACTATTTGATATTTATAATTGCATTCCCTGCACTGATTTTCCTAACTGTGTCCCTGCATACAGGCACTTCCATTATAATACAGACGTGGCTGAGAAACTGAAACAGCCAGCTAAGCTGATTAATTCTTTTTTCCATAGGCAGACTGCTGAAGCATGCCTGTAAAGCCTAGCCAAAATAGGGAAGAAAGTGAGTAGTAGAAGGACAAGCATTTTCTCATGTTATGGTGAAAGAAAATATAAGCATTTGTCACTGAATAAAAAAGTGTATACTCCAAACAGAGGCTGTGACCAAAGCGAGCAAAACTGAAAGCCACCCTTCGTATTACTGACTGGAACAGTTGCAGGCTCCAACTGTAAACAGAGCAACTAGTTTCCTATTTTGTCTGTCTGCATAGATGAGAGTAGCCATAAACTAAAGTTTAGAGACAGGAACAGCTGTTTCAGTTCCCCATGGCATGATGCAATTCTGCTGTCATCTGAGTTTTCCTCAGGGGGTCATCTGAAAGCCAGGAGGGCTCAGAAGAAAGTGCAATGTTGGATTGCCCCGCATCCCATGTTAAACACACAACGGACTCCTGAATCAGCATTTCAGCACTCCCTCTCCTTTTAGGAAAGGAATTAAATCGGTTTGTACTTCACACTAGATACCTATATAACAAACTACTGCAGTGTAAATATGGAAGATCACTAAACATTCACTTTTGTCATCGCATTCTTCTCTTGTTCCCACAATCTTCTTTTCCTCCTCAAATCCAAATGATCAATTAGGATGTCTTATTTGGCTATGTTTAGTTTTAAGTCCACAGAAGTGACCTCATTTACAGCCTAGAGCAAGGCACCAAGATGCTAATTTAATACACAAATAACTACAGCATGCGACTATTGTCACCTGCTCACCTAGAAAATGCCAGCCCTAAGTAACTCCTAGCCTGGAATCATAGTCCCTCTCATTTTCTTTGAATATCCAGCACTCCCTCCTTCGCAAGTCTCAAGTGAATGTCTTGGGGCTGTGAGCTTTGCTCACTTAAAAGAAAAGGTAAGCTTGCTGCTCTGTGGACATCTTTTCTCTGGAGTACAATACGAATCCTTATCCCTGATCTGTGAAACAGTGAATGAAAATTAAGCAAGGATTAACTTCTTGCTCTGAGTGTGTTCAGTTTTTATGTGTGTCTAGATACAGCTCAAGACTAGTTGAATGATACTTAGTCAAACCAATGTTTCCAATACCACTTTTTTAAAAGCACAGTCTCAAAAGATCAGCAGGAGCTGGATTCTCTATGGTACAAAACCCAGTTCCTAATAAGGTCTATGAAGGCAGTAGAAGACAGCACAGTAAGACAGGATGCAAGTGTGAGAAGGACTTTGTCTTGAAGTCCAGTCCTCTGTTCTTGCAGCCAAGTACATAGAATTTCTGTTTTTCCATCAACAGAACATATCCCATCTTTAAATTACTACATCTTTCTCCTGCAAGGATACCGTTTTAGGACATCACTGCTTTTGAGCCTTAGCATGATATGTCTTCCTCAAAAATCGCCGTGTAGCCTTGTAGTGCTTTGGAACTTTTCCTTTGTGGACTGTAGCTTTTGCTGGGCTGTAGAAGCAGCTTCTAAGTATCTGGAGACATGAAATCCTTCCTAACTCTCTGATGTGCTACAAAATCAACACAAGCTCCTAGAGTAGTGAATGCAACACTACTCACAGTTATCCTGAATTTGGTATTTTCATTGATATTGATTTTCAATATCAATGAAAATACCCTGAAGATACAGACTTGCATTGCATGAATTACTGCTTTTCTGTTTACAAAATTCATGCAGAAGTGCATCTGCATTTCTAACAGGCTACAAGACGACCTTTGAGTGACCTAGAATACCACTGCTAATGCATTATATATTCTGACTTTATAGTAGGAACATGCCACTTGGTCCCTCCTCCTGAAGAAAAGACAGTGGCTTATGACAGATAACCTTGGCTTCATGCAGAATGCCAGAAACATATACATATACCTTTCTGGCTCACTGTAGAGCTCTGTGTAATAAATTCTACCATGTACGTAAGGTTCTCACATTTTCACATCATCTTTTAATGCTGTTTATCCCAGTAGTGGATTTTATAGTAAGTTTCCATCTGCCAAAGGACAGAGTGGTCTAACTCGGATCCCTGAAATGGCAGCAAACTATCACGTGGTACACGGAGATTAATCACAAAGTCATGTGCCATAAGGTGGAGCTGTTCCTACATGCTTCCACATATCTTCGTCTCTAGAAAAGACTGTTTATTTCATAAAAGCTGCCGTCGTAAGTACAGTACTGTACAACCAGAATCTCGTTTCTGAAAACAAGTCGTTATACAGTCATCCTCTTTAATGGCTGTGTATCACTATGTACTAGTGAAAAAGCATTTAAAAGACAACAGCAAACAAAACAACTGTAATTCTTTACCATTAGGAAGTCATTCCAGATATGCAACATTAACTCATTATGCTGTTTAAAAGGTAAGGAAGCTTTACTGATAACATAGTCCTGCTGTGTTGTTGTGGCAGAGCTAATATTACTACACCCACCTGAAGCACTGAACAGTCTTTGGCAAAATTATCTTCCCACCAGCAACACAGGCTTTGTGAAAGGCTGGTGGTTCTGTTCTGTATAAGGGGCTTCTTCCTTTATACTTTCCAGCAGTGCAGAGCAAGTAGATTCTCTGTTTTCTGAGAAACACTTGCACTGAACATGTAGAATTTCCACATTTTGGACATTGCAGAAAGCTAAACTTTAGTCTTCTAACAAATGTCTCATTTAAGCCAACTATCCAGGCTTGCTTGCACGTTTTCTCTCTCTCCAGCCGATGGAGAGAAATGTAGAAAGAATAACACACACAAGCTGTCTCTCCTTCCATTGCCCATAACGGGAGTTTACACAACCAGCTTATAGGAGGCACCACATTTTTAGATGACAAATGTAAGACTTTTTACGGTTGTAAATTGTTATTCCAGTTCACAGGACAGCTGAAATATTAGAAGCAGCATCACGCTACTACAGGACTTACCTTTAGAGGATGGTAGACAAGTCCCTTCAGACTTCTCAGCATTTTTTCTGCAGAGACAGAAGTGGATTTTTTAGGGGTTTTTGTTATGTTTAATGTATCTGATGCTGGAAGAGAATGCTTCCTGCCCAAAGAGCTTGAAGTCTAGGGACACAAATAATTCAGACAAACTGTCAGAATGCTCTGCAGCAATACAGTTGACTACTGGTAATGAGCATCATTTGCCTAATAAAAAAATATTCCATTAATCATATTACCTTTTCTCAGAGAGACATTTACCAAAGAAACCCTTACTTTGTAAGTAAAGCTATTTCATTCATCTAGCAAGGAGGACAGATTCTTTTCTTGGGGACGGGCATCTATTTTGACTGCAGCTGTTAAGAGGTGTAAAAGCAAGGGCTACACAGTGATTATGTTGGAGAAACTGGACTAATGCAAAGATTGAAGATGCTTCTGTGTTTTCAGCTTCATCCTAATTGTATATTAGTATCTACTGTTCAGCAATCTTTTATTACAACAGGAGAAAAAAAACCAAAACACCTGAGCAATTGTGATGCAAAAATAAAGGCAAAAACATAAGTAAATTAGTTAAATCTGTCACCTCTGCCAGCATTCAAGGCCTTCTTCATACCACTTCCTTAGGAAAAAATAATGACAATACCTAACAAAGATGCTTTAAGAAATCTTGGTTGCAATAAGTTACACAATGCATTCAAAGTGAGAAAATTACCTTGTAAGTCCTTAGAAGGAATAGCTGTGTTAGTGGAATCAGTGGTTAACTGCAGTTTTAATGCTAAGCAAGACAAAGGTGATTTAACTGCATAGAATGGCATTAACAACTGTTACTGCATAGAATGAGAAAGTAACTCAACACTGAAGGATGTTAATTTTGTAAAGATGCTTTACATTCTTTCATCTAACAATCAATGCTCAATACATATTTGAAAAACAAGCCCCAGTTTTGCTGTTTCAAGAATAAGTGAAGATATCAGCCTGTGGAGGCTTTTTTAGTCATTTTATTTTGCCATGCTAGCATGTACAGCAGAAGAAGAAGGAAAAATTCTGTTCCGCATGAGAATGTATCCCATTTCTTTCAAATCACAGTTTTAACAGTAAAGACAGTAGGGATGGGAAAGCTGTTTTAACAAACACAACTAGTGAAGTTAAGGAGTCAAAAAAACCTGAAAGTTTCTGTTTATTTTGGGCACACCTAACATTCTGACAGAATTCTGGAATGACTACTTTAACACAAGTTGTAAGGGCTCTTCTCTAGGGTTTGTCGGTTTGTCTATCTGTGGGAGAGGTGCTTTAGCACTAGATTAAAACTGCGGCCACTTCACTGATTTGTACCTGGATCAAGTCAAAGAACTGTCCAACTCGGCATATTGCTCTATTATAGAAAAAAAATACTTGTCTGCTTCTCGTCTTTAGGAAAGGATTTATAGATTGGAGTATAATTTGTTAGTAGAAATTATGCAAAGAACCCTGAAAGTTAAATTTGCAGACATCATTAAGTCATCCTAACCTATCACCTCTCCAGACTAAATTAAAAACAAATTTCTGGTTGCTTGCTGTGTATATATTTACTACTGGCTTCAGGAACCTGAAGCCAAGAGCCAGAAAGGCAGGAGAAGACAGAAACAACTTTGAGCTAACCAGAGCGTTACCGTCGCTGGACAACTGCATGCCCACTGCTCTTTCAGGGACCTATCCCCCCATGCCTTCTCCCCAGTTTTTCTTCCCATGTACTCTCCACTGTACTCCATTGTTATCTCTTTTTCTAGACATACATAGGACCGAGATAACAGAGAGGCATACAGTACCTCATTCAACCCGATCAAAAC